TTCTCGAACCTGTTTATTTCGTGCGTGTTTTGTTTAATAATAATAATAATAATAATGTTCTCACAAGAAACACCGACAATAATAATAATAATCATCATCATCATCACATTCAGAAGGCAGTCATACTCAAAACCTGGAGCATCACCAGAACTTTCCTCAGAAATAACTAGCCAGACTTGACAATAGTCCGTTTGACTAGGATTAGAACCGGCAAGACCGAAAAAATCAAATAATAATAATAATGATATTTTTGTTTTGTTTTCTTCTTTCCTGATAGCGTTGACTATTGTGGCCATTAATAGCTATGTTGGTAAGTATGAATTACATACTATCCCTAGATTTCCAATGTGAGTGTGTGAATATTTATTTTATTTTTTATTTTTCTTTAGAACCCTACATAACTTCACTAGACACAGACACTAATCGTTACTTGATTTTAATCCGTGCGATTAGTTAACCAGGCTAGACCTGAGTTCTCACAAGAAACACCGACCATAATAATAATGCCTTTATTGAGTATCAGCTGCAAAATGTAGAAAGGAAAATGATAGTATTACAGCTCAAAGGGCGGAGTTCAGCTTGTAATAAAAATTACTCGCTGCTCTTCAGTAAACTTTCATCCACGAGGGTCCTAGCGCACGTCTCGGCTGTCGCGGTCTGCAGTGGGAATAGCTCCCACCAACAAGTACTGTATCCTCGGTTTATAGCGCTCTATGCACTCCTTATTGTAATAGATCTTCGCATTCCAGGACACTAGTAGCGAGGACTGATCTTCTGTAGCGTTTTTTGTACCCCATTTACAGCGAGAGGAGAGTCGTACTCGTAAAAGATTTTGGGGACCTGCGATTTCGGAACGACTTGTTGAGTCTCTTCGTGTTCACTATCGGGAGAGTAACGGAACAAAATGCTACTAACCATCACATATCCGCGTTCTGAGTAATTAGCAGCGTTGGCAGGGTCATCAGTTCCCTAATTCTGCTACCATCTGCCACTGGAAGATCCATTGGCTTGGTACAAATATCGGTAGATCGTAAGACTGCAGCGATAAAGATCAACGTGCCAATCGGCTAGTTTGTCATTTTAGCGGCATCAGCTAACGCAACGGCAGGTGGTCGCTTATAGTCTTGATTTTGGCATTTTTCAAGAATCCACAATCTGACACGCGCATATCACCGCCAATGGGGGCGCAAGTTAGTAGGTTTTTCACTTCTTTAAAAGCGTTTGCTTCTCTGACTTTCAACTTTCACGGAGCGTTTTTTGTGTAAGATCGCTTAGTGTTTCGATGTTCCTCAATCGTTGCCGATTTATATATATATATATATATACAGGGTGTTACACGACCGTTCGAAAAAAAAAAATCGGGTTGTAGAGGGCATCAAAACAAGCACTTTTTCCAAATAAATCGAGGGTCCAACGTGTTTCGTTTGGGAGCCACCCCCCAAAGAGTGTTGAAATCTGCATTTCTTCTTTAATTTTTTTTCTCAGCAACCATAAGAGTTACAAAGTCGGGTGGCATGTCTTTGAATAGGTTTTTGGGTATGCTCTTTCCGATTTTGCAATTTTTTTTTCAAAATTCCTACCCCTAAAGGGCGCACCCCTAAACTAGCGTGCAAAAAAAATTCTGATTTCGACGAAATTTGGTATCTGGGGGTTTTTTAACATGAAAATCACGAATCTGAAATTAGTTTTTGAAAATTCGAAAAAAAAGTTCCACTGCAATTCTTGGCGGGACAACGAAAATAGAGATAATTCCACGAAATTTGTTGTGTACATACTAAACGAGTTAAGGAACAAAACTGTCGAACAGTTTTTTTAAAATAACTTTTCAAACAAAAGTTATACTCATTTGAATGTTGGTCCTTCGGGTCGCGAAGTGTCCCAAGCCTACTAGTAAGCCATAATTTCGCATGTGTTGGTTGAAAATGTCGCAAAAACAAAAGATTAACGGTTTGAGTCGATATTTTGTTATTTGGAATTAATTCGGTCATTAAATGATTAAAAAATTCGATGTATCGATTAAAACACATACCAAGGTATCTTAAAGCGCTGATCGATTATTTATTATCTAAATAAGGTAGGGGAAAAAGTCAAATCACTTTCCGTATGATACTTTTTCACTATGATCAAAAATTTTCATAATCTTAGGTTGAAAAATAACTTCCAAAAGAACACGCTCCTTTTAAGGACCTTTAAGATTATCTTCAACTGAATAAAACTTTTCCCCTACCTTATTTAGATAATAAACAATCGATCAGCGCTTTTATGTACCTTGGTAGGTGTTTTAATCGATACATCGAATTTTTTAATCATTTAATGACCGAATTAATTCCAAATAACAAAATATCGACTCAAACCGTTAATCTTTTGTTTTTGCGACATTGTCAACCAACACATGCGAAATTATGGCTTACTAGTAGGATTGGGACACTTCGCGACCCGAAGGACCAACATTCAAATGAGTATAACTTTTGTTTGAAAAGTTATTTTAAAAAACTGTTCGACAGTTTTGTTCCTTAACTCGCTTAGTATGTACACAACAAATTTCGTGGAATTATCTCTATTTTCGTTGTCCCGCCAAGAATTGCAGTGGAACTTTTTTTTTCGAATTTTCAAAAACTAATTTCAGATTCGTGATTTTCATGTTAAAAAACCCCCAGATACCAAATTTCGTCGAAATCAGAATTTTTTTTTGCACCCTAGTTTAGGGGTGCGCCCTTTAGGGGTAGGAATTTGGAAAAAAAAATTGCAAAATCGGAAAGAGCATACCCAAAAACCTATTCAAAGACATGCCACCCGACTTTGTAACTCTTATGGTTGCTGAGAAAAAAATTAAAGAAGAAATGCAGATTTCAACACTCTTTGGGGGGTGGCTCCCAAACGAACCACGTTGGACCCTCGGTTTATTTGGAAAAAGTGCTTGTTTTGATGCCCTCTACAACCCGATTTTTTTTTTTCGAACGGTCGTGTAACACCCTGTATATATCCTTTAATACCGACCTCGGGCGATGTATTATAACCGGCGAAAAGTTGAATGTGAGTTCCTCAACTCAAACGGCATTCGCTTGAAATGAAAATTTCCGAAAGATGACATGAAAGCTTGAAAGATTGGTTGACCAGTCAATTCCAGGCTCAGTGGCAACAAGTAACCGGACTCCGACAGTCCAAGGCCTTTCTAACAGGGCCCCTTGGCAAATCGGGGT